CGTGAGTGGTTTAGGGAGCCCTCTCTGTTCTCAACCCCCCTTCTTCCCCTTCGGGGAGGGGTTTACCCCTCCCCCTCCCCCCTCCCCCTGGACCTGGAGAGGGGGTTTCGCGGGTGGTTGGAGGGGTCTTTTTCGACTCCTGGGAGGGCTAAAAAACGACGACCCTCACGAGGATTCTGGCCCCGACGGGGGGAGGGAGATAGGCCCCTCTGCTCTTCTTTGAAGCCAAAATCATTGACTTTACTACGGTTTTGGCCCCATTTTGGCCTCCTGAAAGGGGGCCGCGCTCATCTTCCTTCATAGCAAAACCATTGATTGTACTAAGGTGTTGGGCTCATTTTGTCCTTCTCAGGGCGCAGCTCTCGTTTGCGCTTCTGAGGAGGTCGCAAGAGGCCACAACATGGCCCCAAAAGGCTCCCAGGAGGCTCCCAAGAGGCCTCCAAGAGGCCCCCAGAGGCCCCCAAACGGCCCCGAGGCCTCCAAGAGGCCCCCAAGAGGCCCCCAAGAGGCCTCAAGAGGCCCCAAGAGGCCCCCAAGAGGCTCCCCAGAGGCCCCCAAGAGGCCCCCAAGAGGCCCCAAGAGGCTCCAAGAGGCCCCCAAAAGGCCCCACGAGGAGCCCGAACGACTCACACCAGGACGAGGGGCCCGAACGACTCACACCACGAAGAGCCCGAACGACTCACACCACAAAGAGGGGCCCGAACGACTCACACCAGGACGAGGCGCCCGAACGACTCACACCACGAGGAGCCCGAACGACTCACACCACGACGCGGGCCCCGAACGACTCACACCACGAGGAGCCCGAACGAGTCACACCAGGAGGAGGGGCCCGAACGACTCACACCAGGATGAGGGGCCCGAACAACTCACACCACGAGAAGCCCGTACGACTCACACCAGGACGAAGAGCCCGAACGACTCACACCACGAAGAGCCCGAACGACTCACACCAGGAAGAAGGGCCCGAACGACTCACACCAGGACGAGAAACCCCAAACGACTCAAATCACGAGGAGCGCTTTCTCTCCCTCCTCCTCCGCCTCGTCCTTCTCCCGCTCCCCCACAAGGAGGATGTACAAGGAGGCGGGAGGAAGGAGGAACAGGGGAGATATGCGGGGCCACGCGGACACACGCCTGAAAAACACGACTGTCGGCATGCTTCGCAAGAGTTGCTGCTGTGAGATGGGCTGGTGGGGATACGCGAAGCGTAAAGAATTCCCGACTGGTCGACGCCCTCCCCACGCCGACTGGCCCCCCATATCCCAGACACGTGCGACTCCCCGACTCCACGACTTGTGCGACTCCCCGCTTCGACTCCCGGACTGGCCGACTTCCCGACCCCCGACTGGCCGACTCCCCGACTGGCCGACTGCCCAACTGCCCAACTGGCCAGGTGCCCGACTGGCCAACTCCCCGACTCCCTGACTCCCCGACTCCCCGACTCCCCGACCCTCCGACCCCCCGACTCCCCCGACTCCCCGACTCTTTACGACTCCCAGACACCCCGACTCTCCAGCTCCTCGAATGGCCGACTGGCCAACTCCCCGACTTGCCGACTCCCCGACTGGCCGACTCCCCGACTGGCCGATTCCCTGACTCCCCAGCCCCCCGACTGGCCGACTCTGCGACTGGCCGACTCCCGGACCCCCCCGCTCCTCGACTCCCCGACCCCCCGACTCCAACTAGCTGCCCGGCCGATTTCCCGACTGGCCGACTCCCCGACTCCCCGACTGGCTGGCTCTCCGGATGGCCGACTCCCTGGCCCCTCGACTGGCCGATTCCCTGACTCTTCGGCTCCCCGTCTCCCGTCTCCCCCGACTCCCAGACTGGCCGACTCCCCGACTCCCGGGCTGGCCGACTCCACGACTCCTCGACTGGCCGACTCCCGACTGGCCGACTGCCCGACTGTCCGACTCCCTAAGCCCCCGACTTCCCGACTGGCCGACTCCCCGACTCCCCGGCTGCTGACCCCGCGACTGACCGACTCCCCGACCCCCCGATTTCCCGACTCCCCGACTTGCCGACCCTCCGACTCCTCAACTGGCCGACTCCCTGGCTGGCCGACTCCCCGATTCGGCCCGACTCCCCGACTGGCCGACCCCCCGACTGGACGACCCCCCGACAGGCCGACTCCACTCCCCGACTGGCCGACTCCCCGGCGCTCCGACTGCCGATCCCCCGACTCGCCGACTGGCCGACTCCACCACTCCAAGACTCCCCGACTGGCCCACCCTCCAACTCCCCCGTTGTGACCTGCCGTGGCCTGATAGTCCAGCAACGCCCCCCGATAACACACCTGGAAGACCAATCTCAAAAAAACAATGTTTTTGACACCCCCTGGCAATTCCCGGAGGCCGCTCGCGTGCGCTCCGTTTCCCCGATGAGCTTAAGAGCTAGCCACTTGTTGCCCTGGGCGTGGGGCGGCAACCTCGTATCGGTTCGACCTGTATCCGCGAGATTGAGAGTATGTGACGAAAACTAATAATGCTGACAACTCCAGCGCTGCATTTGAATCGTGTTGCTCATCACTCACGTTAGTATGAGTCCAACAACTAGTTTTAGATGACAACGCTTGTGATGCAGAGGCTCTTAGTCATGGCGTTGGCCCTCAACACCAAGGGGGCCGAGAGGCCAACAAGAGGCCACCAAGAGAGTTGCCTCAGGGCCCAGGGAAACCACGTTCCAACCTCCAGAGGAAGGGCTATGATGCCCCCACCCCGTTTCGATGGATGGCTTCCAAGATGCCCCGCAAGACCCTCCAGGATCCCCAAGAGAGCCCCAATAGAATCCCAAAGGGCGGCCACAAGAGGGCGCCACGAGATCCCCCAAACTTCTAACATTGTCCCCAGACGGTTCCAGGAGCCCATGGAATCCCAAGGCCACCATGGTCTGCGCCATTGCTTCACTCTGTCCTCACATACGCCCTCTTCCAAACCCCCTTCCTGAGCATCGCTTCTAAATCAGCTGACGGGGATACGCGAAGCGCCCGCTTGAACTGATGTTTTTGCACGGCACACCCCTTTTCTTCGCCACTCCCATCGGAAATTCGGCCACGCGCGAAATGGCAGACCAGCGCCCTCGCTGAAATACCACGCATCATCAGAATGCAGATCTTGAATGTGCGCGGCACGTGCTCTACCCCTCGCCAAGTCGTCGGAAGCGGGACAGCACGCGAGGGCATTGTTTTCCCACTGTGGGAACCCGCGTGTCCAGTTGCGCCAGCCTTGGTTGATATGTAGTGGGAGGGAGTGAGCGAAAGGGAAGCAAGCCCACTGGCTCGCTCGGCCTAGCTTACTTGACAGATATACCCACGTCGGAATCACAAGTATGCGAGTGTCATGAGTATTACTAACCGTTCCCAAAACAATGCCTGCACGGTCGACACTTACGGTTTGAGACGCCCCTTGCGCTTACAGCATACAGTTTACACAGCATAGCGCCTACCCACGAAGTGTGCCCAACATAGCGTGCAACGCATGGCTCACACCACGTAGCTTCCATCCCATATGTTACAAAACCTGGCGTACATCACATAGCTTACGTTGCGTAGTTTTCGCATAGATCACACTACATAGATCCCACCAAAAAGCTTACACACCATAGCTTACACTAGACAGCTTAGACAACACACACTAGATACCACACCACACATATTACACAATGTTGCTTACACCACACAGCTTCCACATCAGATATTGCTCCGCATACCTCACACCGCAGAACCTACACCATTTAAACAGTCTACACCACGCAACTGACCTAGCATGCCGTCTTCATACATATTACAACAACTCAACGATTGGGGTCCACGATCGCTAACTTTAGCATCGGACTGCAACTATTATGCGAACGCGATTACCATCACCACACAAATGGTTACTACTACTCCGCTTACGGCTGTCACTCGTATTACCACGGCGATCTACCACTGCGACTACTACGACGATGCACGGCAATACGACTGTTTAAACACTACAAACTACGAACAACAGCATAACGATACTACATACGATCCTCACCGACAAAACGTACTACCTCCTACTACGGGATACTGGCAATCGGGGACTATCACACATAATAATGACCGAAGTCACAACGATTCCCACTACCAATATCACACTGAAGCGGTCCAGTCCTGCAATCACCTAACAAATACCTCATAAGGGATAGGGAGATTGTCGAAGATGCGGACGGAGTCCTGCCAAGCATGAGCCCATACTGCAGTTCTGGAATGAGGGCTCTGGCTCCCGCCTCGGCATAGTATACCGCAACAAACGAACGATGACGAACACCACGAACCACAACGGAACAACGACGAGCGACCACGACGGACGACCGACGGCGACGATGACGACGACGACAAAGACCGACGACCGCCCTCCTCCTTAAAATCGATCCCAGCCTTATGGTGGAGCACGTTCAGACCAGGATTTCGACGCGACCTTTGCGCCATGGGTCCCGATCGCATGGAGACATTGTCTTACAGTCAAGGAATGACAAGCCCTCGCCGTGGGCACGGATCCCACCTTGGCGACGGCCTTCTCCTCATCGTACCCCCATATCCCCCCTCCCCTTCTGGAGGCGGGCGGCGACGACCACCACAGGACGAGGAGCACCGACAACGGCCGGCGACGACGACGATGAAGACTGGCGACGGGCGATGACCACGACGATCACCACATTCAAAGGGCCAAGGACACACAAATAAATACACACAAATAAAATGATCCTCCAACTTTTCCCATAATTTATGGGTTTTTGTCTTCCCCCCCACTTCCCATATTTTCCCATATTTTCCTGGGAGTCGACGATGAATTGTGTCTGTGTGTTTTTCCCCCTCCTGAACCACATCCAAAAACGACGACCACATGGCGACGACGACGACGACGACGACGACGACGCCGAAGACCGGCGACGGGCGACGACGGCAACCGAAGCCTGACGACGACCGATGGCCGCTCCCCGACGGCCGACGGCCGGCGGCTGGCGGCGAGGTCCTCCGCGTCCTCCGACGGCGCCCGCTCGACGTCGGCCGCGTCCGAGTCCGAGGGCGCCCGGGTCGACGGCGGAGCGTCAGCGGGCTTCTGCACGAAGGCCAGGCACCTGGGATGGCAGGATCGGCGACGGTCGTCGCGACGGTCGGTCGTCGTCGGTGAGCGGTCATCGGTCGTCGGTCGTCGGTAGTCGTCGGGCGTCGTCGTCCTCGGCGTCCTCGGCGTCCTCGTCATCGTCGTCGTCGTCGTCGTCGTCGTCGTCGTTGTCGTCGTTGTCGCCGCCGCCGCCGCGGCGTCGACGTTCTCGTCGACCGCCGACGGGCTTCTGCACGAAGGCCAAGCAGCCGACAGACAGACATGCCCCTGGCATCCCTCGCCAGCTGCCTGGCAGGTGGAGCAGCAGATGCTGCAGAGCCTGGGCCCCGAGGGGGCGGAGCCTGGACGCCAGTGGGAAGCGCGGGAGCCGCGCACGCGCCGTGGAGGGACGTCCAACCGCCCCCCGCCCATACTGGCCCTGCCCGAGGACGGAGCGCCCACGCAGGCCAAGCCAACCGCGGGCCATGCCATCCCCGACGAGGCGGGGGGGAGGGGGCCGTCGGAGCCCGCCTGCCAGCACACCGCCCCGCGGGCGCGTGGCCCGGAGGCGGGCCGCCGAGGCGGCCCGAGTCTTAGCAACGCTGGGCCGTCAGGTCACGGATCACACACAGACGGAGGAGGGAAACAAACAAATTGAGAGCGGCACGCCTGAATCCATGAGAAAGCATGATCGTGCAACGCGCAGCCTTGATCATCACCACCACCACCACCACCACCACCATCATCATCATCATCATCATCATCATCATCATCATCATCATCATCATCATCATCATCATCATCATCATCATCATCATCATCATCATCAGCATCATCATCATCATGGGCAGCAGCAGCAGCATCAGCATCAGCATCAGCATCATCAGCATCACCAGCATCATCATCCTCAGCATCAGTATCATCATCATCATCATCATTCATCATCATCATCATCATCATCATCATTCATCATCATGATCATCATCATCACATCCTCATCATCATCATCATTGAAATCAGCACATCATCATCATCAGTCATCATCATCCTCATCATCATCATCATCATCATCATCATCATCATCGCCATCATCAGCATCATCAGCATGATCCTCATTCACCATCATCATCATCATCGTCGTCATCATCAGCATCACCATCATCATCATCATCATCATCATCATCATCATCATCATCATCATCATCATCATCATCATCATCATCATCATCATCATCATCATCATCATCATCATCATCATCATCATCATCATTAGCATCATCATCATGATCATCCTCATCGTCATAAATATCACCACCATCATCATCATCAGCAGCAGCAGCATCAGCAGCAGCATCATCAGCAGCATCATCAGCATCATTGGCATCAGCATCATCATCAGCAAAACCATCGTCATCATCGTCATCATCATCATTATTATCAGAATCGGCATATACTCATCATCATCATCACCACCATCACCATCATCATCATCATGATCGGCATCATAATTTCATCATGATAATCAGCATCATAATTATCAGCATCATCATCATCAGCATCACCATCATCACAATCAGCAGCATCATCATCAGCTTCATCATCATCGTCATCATCATCGTCATCCTCATCATCATCACCAGAAGCATGCTCAGCGGCATCACCATCATCAGCATCACCATCGTCATCACCATCACCATCACCATCATGGGAATCATCAGCATCATCTTAATCATCATCAGTACCATCATCATGTTATTCTGCATCATCAGAAACGTGAGCATCATCATCATCATAAGCATCAGCATCAACATCATCAACAGCATCAGCACCAGCATCAGCATCATCAGCATCATCATCATCATCATCAGCAGCAGCATCGCTATCACCACCACCACCACCGCCATCATCCTCACGCTCGTCCGCATCTTCATCCTCATCATTCTCATGAGCATCCTCATCGGCATCATCATCATCATCATCATCAACATCATCATCATCATCAGCATCATCATCAGCATCGTCATCATGATCGTCATCATCCTCAGAATAATAATCATCAGCATCACCATCATCAGTACCAGTACCATAATCACCTTTAACATAAAGTTGCTGTCCCCCGTCACATCGCTCCCACAATCCCATCCTGCCTCCGCCTTCCCCCTCACCCTCGTCCTCCTCCTCCTCATCATCCTCCTCTCCCCCCCCCCATTCTCGTCCTCCTCCTCCTTTTTGCTATTCCTCCCCGTCCCCCATCCCGTCCTCCCTCCCCCCCCCCCCCCCCCCCCACACACACACACACACACACACACACACCACACACACACACACACACACACACACACACACACACACCACACACACACACACACACACACACACCACACACACACACACACACACACACAACACACACACACACAACACACACACACACACACACACACACACACACAACACCACACATACACACACAGACACACAGACACACAGACACACACACACACACACCCACACACACACACACACACGCGCACATACACAAACACCCACACACACACTCTTCCTGTCTCCTCCTTTTCCTCCTCCGTTTGTTCGTTCTTCCACTTCGCGTCGTCCTCTCCATTCCCCACTTGCTGTTGTCGCTCATCCTTTATATCACCCTCCTCCCCCTGCCCCTCCTCGTCATGTGTTCCCCCGCGTCCTCCTCCCCCCCTCCCCCATCCCCCTCCTCATCCTCGTGATGTCTGGTTACCATCCTTCCCCCATCCCCCCTCGCGCCATCTCATCCTCCTCATCCCTCAGGATTCATCCTCCTGTTGCCCCGTTCCCCACTCTCACATCATACTCTCCTCCTCATCCTCCTCTTCCTTCCTCATCACCTCATACCGACTCATCACCTACTACTCACCAACTCCTCCAATCCTCACTCCCTCCTAATCCTCTCCTCCTACTCCTCCTCCTCACTCCTCCTCCCCTCCTACCATACTCATCCTCACCATCCTCCTCCCTCAACTATTCTCTTCCTCCTCGTCCTCCTCATTACAACTCCCACACAATACTCCATCCTCATCCTCTACTATCGTCGTTAATCCTGTCTCATACTCCTACTCATCATACTCATCTTTCCTCCTCCTCCTCTTCCCTCCCCCTCCTTCCTCCTTCCTCCCATCTCTTCCTCTCCTCTCTCCTCCCTCCTCCTCTTTCCTCCTCCTCCTCCCTCCTCCCCCGTCCTCCTCCTCCTTCCTCCTCCTCCTCCTCTTTCCTCCTCCTCCTCCGCCTCCTCCTCCTCCTCCTCCTCTCCTCCTCCTCTTCCTCCTCCTCCTCATCTCCTCCTCGTCGTCCTCGTACTACGCTACTCCTTCGTTCTTCATCCTCGTTTTCCTCCTCCTCATCCTCCTCCTCCGCCCCCCTCCCCGCGTCCTCCTCTCCTCTTCCTCCTCCTCCTCCTCCCCTCCTCCTCATCCTCCTCATCCTCCTCCTCCTCCTCCTCTGCGCCTGCGCTTGCGTTTTCTCCTCCTCCTCTTCCTCCTCCTCCTCCTCCTCCTCCTCCCCTCCTCCTCCTACTCCTCCGCCTCCTCCTCCTTCTCCTCCTCCTCCTCATCCTCCTCTCATCCTCTCCTCCTCCCCTTCTAGCCACCTTGTGCCGCTGCAAAGGTGTCCCGCCCCAGGTATTCGACGCGCGCGGGGGGGGGGGGGGGGGGGGGGGGCAGCGATTGCGCGGCGGAGCACGCAAGGGCGTGCCGCGCGGAGCCAGGAAACAAGGACTCCTTCTTCAACCAGCTCATGGCATGGAGGGCATCAGACGACGAATCAAGGGCGCTATGGAAGTGAACGACTCGGACGGGGGCGCACAACCATGCACAGGACGACATGGCCGCGGTCGTGGACGCGGTGGTACAGGCGGCGGTGGAGGCCGCGGTGCGCGCGGCCATTCCTGCCGAGGCGCGTCCTACGGCGCCACGGCCGTCTAGGGCGACGAGCAGCAGCACGCTCGCGATCCAGGGCGGCAGCGTGGAGGGCACCACCAAGGTCGAGCTACCGACGGCGCCGCCGCCTGGCAGGTAGACACCGCCCAAGGAAGTGGCGCTGACAGCAAGACCGACCACACCGCCGACGCACTGGCTGGGGGACCGCCCAGCGGCGGCGGAGCCACGCGAGGAGACGGGCAACGTCGTGAGCAAAAAGGAGAAAAAGGACAAGCAGGAGAAGCAGGAGAAGCAGGAGAAGCAGGAGAAGAAGGACAGGAGAAGCAGGAGAAGCAGGAAAAGACAGAGAAGAAGCAGGAGAAGAATGACAAAAATGAAGAAGCAGGATAAGCAGGAGAGGAAGGACAAGAAGGAGAAGCAGGAGAAAAAGGAGAAGCAGGCAACGTCGTGAGCAAGAAAGAGAAAAATGACAAAGCAGGAGAAGCAGGAGAAGAAGGGCAGCAGGCGGGAGGAGAGGCGCCGCCGCAGGCGCAGCTGGTCGCGCTCGGCCTCTCGCCCGGCGCTGGTGGACCGAATGTTGTCGAGCACAATCCTGGCGGCGACAAGCGTCCAGGCACGCCACGCCCCTTCGATGGGCGCGACGCGCCCCCTCGCGAGCGCCGCATCTGGGCAGAGCCCAACTGGGCTGGGCCCACCGCGGCGCGGCGCCGCATGCGTGGTAGACGAAACCACCGCGGCGCGCGGCGAGGGGGCAGCCTTCGGGCATGACGCCCCTGGACGCAACTCACAGTCGCACCCAACACGC